TTTGAACGCAACACTAGCTACGTCTAGATCTGACATTTCGACGCAGACTGCAGTAGAAAAATGTGGAGCAGTGTTTAGCCGATTATCCCAAGTGAACATTTCCTGGACTCAAATTACGGACTTTGTAATGTAACGGTCGTTATGATCTTTAAATTACAGTGCTCGGCTTCAGTCAGTCGTCACCTTTATATTCTTACAGACCTAGACATGCTCTTTCTAAATTTTTACCTCGCTATCCCTTATTTTGTCCGCCATATTGGAAAAGTACAGGAAGTCGCCCTTTACGGTAACATTTGAAAGTTGTCCTGTTATTGTCATGCCGATAAATTCCCATGTTTTTTCTAGCCGCAACAATAAAATGAACTAGACATAAATAAAAATGAAAAATATGTTGTTATTAAGCTTGTTCACCCAACATGAAGCTGTCCAGCGGTGCTGAATATCAGGTGCCATAGCTTCGTCAGTTTGACAGCAGTTTTCACTTGACTGTCAGATTTAGTTGTTTGTTATTTATTTATTTATTTATTTATTTCCAACAGGTGAAACCCAATTACAGGAAACGCTGAAAAAAATAACAATTAAAGAGACATGGTTCTTGGACTTAAATCTATACTATCACACATTGTAAATAAGATTGGATGATCTATAGCAGTTAATAATCGATGCACAACTGACACTGTAAATATCACACTGTTCATGACGCAGCACATGAGATTAATTGGCGATTTTGTCAAAACACTTGTACGGCCAGCTTGACAATAGAATGCCGTTTGTTGTCGACTCTCTAGCCTTGAAACGCAGAAACATATTTTTTTCAAGTAAATTTTGACAGTCAGTTTTATTGTGAATGAGGCCATACAAAAACGACAAAGCAAATATGTTTCGTCTTGTTGACAGTGAATCCAAATTGAAAAACTCTAATAGGGCACTATGGTCACAACCTCTTTCTGCATAAGAACCTGTGCATTTAAGGTGAAAATACTTTAAAGCTTTACGTTGAATGGCCTCAAGGATCACGACAGAATTTTGGTATATAGGAGACCAGATCAGAGTCGCATACTCCAACTTGCTCCTGACAAAAGTAAAAAATAAAGTCATTAATGTATCAACATTGGAGAAACCCTTCCAGTTTCTGATACAGAAACCAAGTAGTCGAGTGGCAGCCGACGAGATATTGAGTATATGCTCAGTAAACGTTAGCTTGGTATCAAAAATGACTCCAAGGTCTCTATAAGAGGTGCATCTGTCTATAACCTGACCATTGATGTTATAATTATCATAACTTAAACAGTTAACTTTTCTTGTATAAGTCATAACTTTACATTTCGAAACATTCAGACTGAGACGTTTTCGTGAACACCATGACGAAATTAGAGCTACGTGGAAACACTTCAGTTCAAAAGACAAGTCATTAATAAATATTAAAAACAATAATGGACCTAGATTTGACCCTTGAGGTACCCCAGACGTGGCCCGATAGTAACTTGACCTATGACCACCATATTCGACAAATAACCTTCTATCCCTCAAATATGAATTCATGAGCGACAGCATTGCATCAGACATACCCACTGTTTTAAGCTTATCCAGAAGTGCATAATGATCAACTTGATCAAATACCTTCTGAATATCTGTGTAGATGACATCAACTTGTCCCTGACCGTCTAGTACTTCAGAAATGTACTGAGTAATTAAAGCCACGTGGTGAAGTTGTTGATTAACTATCAAAGTTATCCCTCGCTTACTGCTATTTGGCATAAAAGCACTACCCTGCTACCTAGGTTCACATTTACATATTGTCACAACCACCGACAATGGCCGAACTATTAGTATCTAAGCAGCTTAATCCAACATGTGGTCCCAATTGACGGCCGTAGGTTAACCGTATTTTAATTTAATATGATATAATTTAGTGCATAGCCATTTTCAGTCAGAGAGGAGATATCGTCAAGAAGCCTTTCTGGGCGCTATTTTTCCAATATGATGGCGCAAGCGCAAAGCTCCGGGTTGTAAAGCGGACAATTTATAAAAATATCGCTTTTCAAAGACCTCCTCAAATCATTCCAGATATCCCTTTTTGAGCAACAAGCAATTGTACTACAACGCTAAAACAAATATCGGAAATTGGGGTAAAGCTCCTTCTAAGCTCGCCTTAAAGGGTCCTTGAAAATTTCTCGTCAGATCACCGTGCGATTCCTGACGTGGAATTTGGTTTTCTGTCTGATCATAGTACGGAGCTACAGGCAGTCAGACTGGTGTAGCCTGCAACCGTCAACAGAAGTGCTAATATCTTGCTTTTTGATGTATTATAAGCTCATCCAAAAGGGCATTCCATTTTGGCTTCTAAGCTCTTGAAACCTTTTTCAGAAGGAAGAAAAACACGGATCAACATTCTTGTCGAAAGTACGGCCCATCAGAGCCGGTTAGATTCTTGGATCAATCCTGTACTTACTTTTCACTCACTACATTCCTTACCCCAGCGACTGTGAAGTCTATCTCTATGCTGACGATACTTCACTAGCAACCCAACTGTGTTCTGGTAACGTGGCTTATCACAGGCTGCAGAATGCGCTTGACGAAGTATTGGAGTTGGCGGATCGGTGGCTGATCAAAATTAATATAAAAATGCAGGTAATCTACTATCTATACTAAGTGACATATAAATCCGAACACCCAGTTTAAATGGTTTTATTTTAATAAAATTTTGTATAAGTACTTAATGAAGCATAATAAGTAAATGATAAAAATTTCAAAATGATTGCACTGCTTTAAAGCCCTTTGATCTTTAATAATGTGTGGATGCACCCTGATGTGCTACGCATTCTCCAACGCGCCTAGGCATGCTTCTGATCAGGTGGTCAATGTCCTCCTGTGGTATCTCATTCCAGGCAACCACCAACTCCTCTCGAAGTGCTTCTAGAGTCTGAGGAGAACGTTGCAAATTGAGCAATCTCCTACCCATCATATCCCATACGTGCTCAATTGGGGATAAGTCGGGAGATCTTGGTGGCCATGGTAACAATGTGACATCATTATGTTGTAAGAAGTCTATTGTGACTCTTGCAACATGTGGTCGGGCATTATCTTGTTGGAAAGTTGGATCTGCCAGGGTGTCAAGATAGGGTAAAAGATGGGGTTCTAGAACTTCGTGGATATAACGCTGCGCGTTCATGTTACCTCTGATGAAGATTAAAGGTGACCTGGAACCATAAGCTATAGCACCCCAAACCATAACTTCAACAGTGTGATGAACATGTCTTTCAACAAAAAACTGTGGATTCCTCCTTTCACCACGTCGCCTTCTAACCCTGGCACGACCATCGTTCATGCCTAAACAAAATCGAGACTCGTCACTAAAGACAATACTGTTCCATTCCTGATCCCAGAGTGACCGTTGTCTGCACCACTCAAGGTGATTACGTCGGTGTTCTCGAGTTAAAGGGAGGACCCAGTGTGGCCGGTATGAAAACAAGCCAAAACTTCTCATTCGTCGGTAAACACTTCGCATGTCAATAGATCTTCCGTGTTCTGCAAACCATTCATTTGCAATGGACCTGGTAGTGGAGAAATGGTCCCTTAAGGCCAATAATCTTAGGCGGCGATCTTCACGGTCTGTTGTTCTACGGCGGCGTCCAGTGCCCCTTGCTCTTTGCGAACGGCCTTCTCGAAGCCATGCCTGACAACACCTAACCACAGTGTCTACACTTCTTTGCACTCTAACTGCAATTGCCCGAAAAGAAAGTCCAGCTTCCCGAAGTCCCACTATACGGCCCCTATCAAACTCACTAAGTTGACGAAATCGTACAGGTCTCCGTACTCTAGGCATCGTAACCGATCGTAAAGGATGTCAAGAACCAAAATCCGCCAACGTTGATTCTTTACTGCGGCTGAAATATTCATTTTTAGAGCGTTAGTGAATTAAAAAAAAGCAGTATAGAAACCGGAATGTCCAACTGATAAGGCTGAAAATTTTTTCACTTGTTATTTACAGTAAGATAAATACATTCACCAATTTTTATTAAAATAAAACCATTTAAACTGGGTGTTCGGATTTATATGTCACTTAGTATATAAACTGCGTCAGGTACCTGGGGTCATCACTGACAAGGGGTTGACCTGGCAGAAGCATAGGGATATTTTGAAAACGAAATGCCAAACTCCGTTACGGCAGCTTTATCTTTTGTAGTGCGGAAATTCAAAATTGAGTTTGATCAACAAGATTCGGTTATATAAAATAGTCATTAGACTCGCAAGTTCTTCAAAACAGAACCATACGCACAATCACCAACGCCCCGTGGCACGTGTTTTAATGAGATATTTCATAGATCCCATATCTAAGGGACTAAATAAATCAAAAGGCATAACGGTATTATAATCAAACGGAATCGCATAGCAACCCTCTGTTGCGTGATTCAGTAGACTACACCGTCGAGCAAGTTCGCAAAGATTGCAGGCCTCGCCTCGCACTGTGATCAAAATTAAAATTGATATACGCACCAACCAGAATTATTTCAATATACAGAGTCGATCAAAACTATTTTTGGAATTACAAAAATATTCAAGTGCTCAAACTAATAACGCTTAAGTGTTTTCTGCTTCTTCTCCCTTTTCCCTTGAACTAGTTTGGTATCTGGGTTGCAAAGGTCCAACGGACCGCTCTGACGAACAATTGCGAACGGTAAGTCGGATAATTTGCGGCGTATCTTGTTTTACTTACTTACTTTGAGCACAAGTCAGTTTTCGACTGGACTACTTGCCAAGGGACCATTTGCATAACCTCATACACAAATCATCACCTTTAATCGCAAATTTTTAGCAACTGTCTGTAACAGTTGTTTAAGCATAAGGGTTCATCATCCTACTCTAATTTTTTGGAAAGGTTGAGGTCAAGTTGTGTCATTTGAGGAAGAAGAACTGATTGATGGGGCAATTAAAAAGCAATAAAAACAAGCAACGACCATAAGAGTAGTCTGATACTTTTTTGATAGGCCGGGCCGGTAGAAAAATCGTAGTGTTATTGAAATTAGATGATACCGAGGAAGGTCGCGGAATCCTGAGAGAGGGGCTGGTTGCAATGACCTTTCACCTACATAGCCGATTAAACATTAAATTTATCAAAGAGGTATATATAGAAATGCGAATACTAGTTTTTTGTCATTCAGGTTCTGGATTAGTTTGTAAAATGAGGCAACTGGTAAGTTTACATCTATTGTCATTCTATCTTTCAAGCTGTGATTCTGTAACGCCGCAGCGCTTAGAAGCCGAGCCCCATGCTGGTTTAACTACCGTGGTTAATTGCATCATTAATTATGCATATTTTTGGTGAGGATTTCAGTGTATATCATTGATGCTTTTATCGTATTTTGAATTTATGGACAGTAACGCTGAGTGTGTGTTCTAAAGTTAGTGCGTGTACCGTGCCGGAAGGGAGTAGTAAGTGGTAACGTATTTTGTCCCAAGGGCAACAGTTTTTGAACGTTGTAGGATCTAAAGCCTCAAAGGTGCATATCGCTCACTTTCTGCGATCTGTCTTTATGCTTGATCGGAACCACGTATTATCAGCAACCACTGAACAGACTTTGATAAAATTTGTGGGCTGGTATGCTGTTGGCTCGTAAGATGATGTCTTCGGAAATATTTACAAAGTGGAACAATCAAACTATCAAAACTTCCGTAACGTCTTTCATTTGTTTTTGAATTTCTTGATGGGCGACGTAAAAGAATTTCATTTCCTGCTATCTGTCTATACGTTTGATCGTAGCTATTCGGAACCGAGTAATATCGGCAACCGCTGAACCCATTTTGATGAAACTTGTGGACTGGTATGCTGTTGGCTCGTAAGATGTGATGTAGCTATGTCTTCGGAAAATGTCATTAATTTGCTTTTGACCTGTTTGATTTGAGTGAGGCCAACGGATTCATTCAGTAGCACAAAAATAAAAACCTAAGTACCTTTAACTACGCGTGTGGAGGATTTGCAATTGTTAAATTTCATGAACCGCTTTTCATTTTTTGTTTCAATGTTTCGTATATAAGTTCACGTTTTTCCGTTTCACAAATGCAAAATAATGGCTAACAAGTACCAAGCCATGAACCAACTTGACAAGATTTTTTTATTATGTTCCACGAAGAACTGAATATTCCTACTATGCATTTTCAAAGCATTCGGTTTGTAGATTTTCTATTTCTTTGGCATATTGTTGTACGGCCTCTCAGTCGGAAAGTTTTGGTCGGGATTAATCAAATTACAGTACCAACCCATTTCATTTCTTCGATCAATCTGAAACATATACAAATTACTGACTTCGGAGATGTAACGAATTAAGTTCTTTATACTCTCAATTTTCTGCATGTTGGTAGATTTTCTTATTGTTTCGTAAATAGTATCGGGATTACCAGACGAAAGCACAGATTTGACTTGTTTATTCGCAAGTTTTTGAACATTTTCCTATGAGCTGTGGTAAAAAATAAAAAAACTAAACCATCCTGTGCGTAAGTTTTAAATTTGATGTGGTCCTGCAATGCATTTATTGAGCCTAGTTGATTTTCAGTTTTCAATAAATATATCTCTAATTGGAAGTTTATGAATTCTTAGAGTAATACTAAGCCTAACTCTACTTTCCCTATTTCGCCAATAAATCTGTATTGTAGTTTTGCAAATGATAGGATAGTTATTTTAGGTGCTTCAGTATGTAATATGTTGTGAGTCATTTGCTTCAGTTCAATATATAGAATGATGCTACCGCGACTATTACAACTGGGGCAGACAGCACATAGCTTGGAACAAATTAATGTCCGTTAAATATCAAGGAAAAAAACAAAAATGCATAGAATTAACTGCTTAAAATATCTTGGACACACATTTAAGGTGGGATAACCATCATATATGTTATCAAAAAAAATCAGAAATGTTGTCTATAAACTCAAAATGCTTGAAAACATTCTTACAGAAAATTTTCTACCATGCCCGTATAATCCCAGCCTAAGGTGCCATCTGATCTAGATGTAGCACAAAAAACCCTTTTAAAAGCAAAGCCATTTTCGATAAGACAAGACTACATTCTTCAAATAATTTATATAAGGAAACAGGTATACTTGATACTAGGCAGCTTTATTTCTCACATACCAACTGAGACCATAAACATTCTAATGAACAAAATTCTTATGATTTGTGTTTTCAAATAGGATCATCTAATACTTATAGATCACACAAAACAGTATTCAAAAAATCATTTAAATTCTTAGTCGCTAAATTGTATAATATGGTATCAAACGAAATAAAGAAACTTACATTTGGAAGAAAAAAGACAAAAATTAAACTGTGTTTAGTAGTATTTATGTTTCTTATAGACAAATGATTTTTGTTAGTTACTAACATATAATCCACACACCTTCTGTGAACCTTTTATACAGGGTGTTTCAGTTTATTGTTGCATAACCTTAAGATTCGATAGAACTTTTAAAATTAATGCATAAAGTCTATATAAACATGGGTCGAAAAATGCGTGGCTTCCGAAATACAGGGTGCTTAAATTTACTTTTTAAAATAGTTTTTTTTTAAATATTTCCAACAATATTTGATGTATAACAGTGAGAATTGTTATACAAGGGTTTTTTGGTACGACAAACCGAACCATGGGCATAGTTTTACTGTATCCGATAGAGGGCGCTCTCTACTGTACCTGTAGTGTATTAAAATAACCGAAAAAATTTTCTTAGTGCAATTTTTTGCTTTTTGAATAAAAAACTGATTTTTCGCACTTTTCTGCATTTATAAAGCTCTCTTTTCGTTACAGTTAGCCGTTTTTGAGATATTTCGATTTTTAAGGTTCGATGCATTTTTAATTATTTATGGGAAAATAATATTTTTTTTACATTTTCGATTTGGGCATTACAAGTAATTAAGATGATCGTTTAGATTGTGTTTTCAAACACAGCAACAATTCCTAACTCCAAATAAACACAAAAAAACAGAATATTAATTTGTTTAATTTTCCAATATTATTTTTAACAAATTAAATTAATTATTTACAACTAAAATGCTATTGGATAGTTAGGACAAACATACAAAATCTAAAGTAGTCGCTCGAAATGTAAACCCAATTGTTCAATACACAATTCACATCTACGAATGATCGAACGTGGTATAGCATTATTCAAATAAGGCCTTATTTCATCACATGCATTCTTGATTCTGTCTATTTGCGTATCTCTTGTGGTTATGGGAGTCTGGTACAATTTTTCTTTTAGAAATCCCCATACAAAGAAATCTAATGGGTTTAGGTCAGGGGATCGTGGAGGCCAGGCGACTGGTCCTCCACGGCCGATCCATCTTTCTGGATAATTTTCGTCCAGCCAGTTTCTAACTATTCTCGAATAATGAGCTGGACAACCATCAAGCTGGAACCAGGCCAATCTTCTTAAATCTAACAACATAACATCATCCCACATATTTGCATGTTCAGCCTTTAAAAATTCCAAGAAGGTCGCAGCATTTTACCTTGCAGGTACAAGGTAGGGTCCAAATAGTCGATTACGGTAGATACCAATCCACACGTTCACACTAAATTCATGCTGAAAATTTCTTTCCCGAACTGCATGCGGATTTTCATGCGACCAAATATGTTGATTATGAAAATTTACCACTCCACGTCTAGTGAAGCATGACTCATCGGTCCATAAAACGTTACTTAAAAACTCCCTATTATTATCAGTTCTATCAATAATCCACTGACAAAATGTGATTCTTCGTTCTCCGTCCCCTGGCTGTAGTCCTTGCACAGGTTGCAAATGGTAAGGAGGTCTATGATCATTTCTAAGAATACGGTGAACATGGCTTGCTGAAATTCCCAAGGCACCAGAAATTTTCCTAACACTTGTGGTCGAATCTCTATCAAACTCACGCAGAATCATACGGGTAAATCTGCGCTGAAGAACATTTATGTTTTGATCCCTTTGGATTTTTCCAAAACCATTTTCAATTATTTGGCCATGCACTCTTACAAATACTGAGCGAGTTGGATGTCGTCTGTTTGGAAATCTTCGTGCGTATTCTCTGGCTGCTTCTGCTGCGTTTCCATTTACAAAGCCATACACAAAATGAATATCCGCTAACTCTTGATTGGAGAATAAAAATGGCATTTTTATAAAACTTACAAAAAAAACAGGTAAAAGAAACTAAATTTCGTGCATTCACAATTGCAAAAAAACGTTTCAGGTTTCAACAGACAACACAACTAACTGTCAACTAATTGACGTTTAACCTTATTCTGATTTCAATTTCAACAATATTTGCAGGCACAGCCTACTTCTAAAATTTATCGAGATACTGACTTTTTAACGTTATTTTATCATAAATAATTAAAAATGCATCGAACCTTAAAAATCGAAATATCTCAAAAACGGCTAACTATAACGAAAACTCACAGGAGAGCTTTTTTATGTTGAAAAGTGCGGAAAATCAGTTTTTTTATTCAAAAAGCAAAAAATTGCGCTAAGAAAATTTTTTCGGTCATTTCAATACACTACAGGTACAGTAGAGAGCGCCCTCTAGCGGCTACAGTAAAACTATGCTCATGGTTCGTTTTGTCGTACCAAAAAACCCTTGTATACCAATTTTCACTATTATACATCAAATATTGTTCGAAATATTTAAAAAAAAAACTATTATAGAAAGTAAATTTAAGCACCCTGTATTTCGGAAGCCACGCATTTTTCGACCCATGTTTATATAGACTGTATGCATTAATTTTAATAGTTCTATCGAATCTTAAAGTTATGCAACAATAAACTGAAACACCCTGTATACATGTATTTGCCCATTTTTGAACAATTTTGCATTTTGGCGAATTATTATGATTATTTTTATAACAATAATTATACTAAAAAGTATGTATGGCTTTTTTTACAAGTCACAGATCTACCAAGAAAATTTATTAGTACAGTGATCTGTGGAAAGAGAGAAATCAGTTTTTCTTTCGTCTCTATGTAATTCAGGGCGGTTTCGATAAGTCAACAATTTGTTACAAAGCGTAGCTGCCCGAACACTTTACAAATATAATGTTCAGTTACTTTGAAGTAGGGGTAGTAGATACCTCAAGGACCTCTTTTTTTCAAACTGCCTATTTGGATCAGTATTCTAAATCTGTTTATTTGATTGTATGGTATAGGGATGACTAAGAAACAATGCTATCACTTTTCTTTTTGTCAAAAAATGCATTTTTGTACATTTCATATACATTTTTTCTTCAATCATAACTTGTTAATAAATAAGAGTACAGCTCTGAAATTGTATATTAGTATAGTGCTTTGAGCTGGAATGCGGGTCATTGTTGTAACTCTTATCACTTAATCTCTTCGAAAAGGTCTGATTTTCTTGAATCCTCATTTTGCAGTATTCAAGAAGCGCTTAGATTGTTTAAAGAAAGAAAGTGATAAAAAATAAATCACGCGCTTTTCTATAAAAGTGAGATATTCACATACAATTTTAGAGCTGTACTATTACAAAACAAGTTTACGATTGAAGAGATATAAACTATAAACATTGGCTTTATTCACAACATGAAACAATTAGACTAAAAGCATCAAGAATAATCCTCTAGTTTATGCATAGAATTTAATGGAGCACGATTTTCCTAACTTCAGGCGATACTTGCCCTGCTGGTCCCAGTGGCCCTATCAGCACCCCAATCTCAGTACCGCCCTACGGTGATAAGGACCAGCACGAGCAGTAGTGGTTCCGGCGACGACGGGCAATATCACCCTGACAACAGTGGAGCATATGTACCAGATAATGCAGGAGCTTATGTACATCAAGATGTTCCCTACAGGTAAGACAATCATGAAACAGTAACCTGTACTCATTGTGTAGAATAGTTACTAAAAAGGCCCTTTGGTGAATGTTTTTAAAACAGCATTGGATACCAAGCACACCAAGAAACACGATATGCGCCAGATCGGCCAGGCGTGGTAACTGAATAAAAAAATAAGATTTAAGAAATCGCCATTTTTGCTGATTATATTTTACGGCACCTTTCAAGTAATCACTTATTAATGATGCATTCTCTTATTGTTTTGAACTCGGTTTCTAATGAAGCTGACATAGTGAGCGCTTCATGCAGGCACAAAAATGACCGACACATTAAGCAGAACTTTGATAACTTTTCCTTCGCATTCTTTGCATATCTTATTGTATACTTAGCATATGATTTTAAGAATGGTAATAAGACCCGGCTGATAGATATTAGGTAATGTTTGTTTCCATTAACTGCTCGTCGATTTAGTACAAAATTTGCTTCTCTCAAGACATATGATTCTAATCATCTGGAAAATCTTAGCAGAAACTCTTAGGATGCCAAAGTGGATTTTTAAAAGTTTGTTACAGTAGCGATACAGTGTGGTCAACCGTGCATGGCCGGTATATTCCTCTTCAACTATACTATAACTATCTAAAACTGTAATGACTCATCGATGTTCACGTGAACATCACTTAACTACCAGTAGTCGTCTGTTCATAGGCGGGGTATGAATGTTTAACATGGGTGAACTAGATTTGTCACATGCTTAATAAAGAGTGGTTTGAAACATATTGTAAGTCAAAAATTTGGGAATTACCTTTATTCATCGTCGCTTCCACTTACATCTGACAGTGACAAACTGCGCTATCGCTTTCCTCGTAGAAATTGACTATAACTGGCTCTATGATGGTGTCGATGTGGTGGTCAAGCTGCCACATTTTTGTTTCTTCTTTCACAACATGACGGATAGCATTCTGCCAAGCTTCGGGCATTACTAGCTGTATGGAAGTCTCAAGTAAAACCTTAACGTCTGGTAATTTGAAGGTTGTGTTATGGCGCGCAATATAACCCTTCACTTGAGCCCAGATGAGCTCTATTGGGTTCAGTTCACAGTGGTAGGGCGGTAAGCACAGTGACACCACATTGACGGGCCATCTCATCAGTCACGTAACTAATGTTCGCAGGTTTGTGCTGTTTAATTTTTTCATACAATTCCGCTTTCACACATGAATCGTCAAACGGGATTCCTTTTTCGCGCAACCATTGCTGCATGTCACTTTTTCGAGATCCCATAGTCGGTACACGTTCGGCTCGACGACTATGGTAGGAAGCATTATCCATGACGATCACAGAGTTGGGTTCAACTCGCTGAAGCACCCCTTGAAACCAGCTCTCGAAGCAGCTGGCATTAATTTCGTCATGGTAATCACCTCCTTTCTTAGAGACGAAAATGAAGTCACACTCTTCTAAAAAGCCACTATCGCTACCAATATGAGTTACGATCAATCTTTGACCTTTCCCTGACGGTCCACGAAGACCTGTTGACAAACCTTCAATGCTTGCTTGTCGGTTACTCACTACGTTTTTGTCTATCCAGGTTTTTTTAACTGTGTGACCTGAATTTACCCATGTCTCGTCCAAATAATAGATATTTCTGCTTTGTCGCCTACATTCAATCATTTCGCGTAGGTATTTTCGACGCCAGGCGACTATTTCAGGTCTCTCTATCAATACTGACTTCCGATTACGCGTTTCGTAACGAAAATTAATTTCGTGCAGGGATTTCCTCATTACCTCGACGCTCATTTGGGGTATAATTTCATTTTCCTTGATCGCTGCATGTACAGCCTTGAGGGTTGGTAACTCATTCCTAAAGAAGAACGAATGTACGGTTCTCCTTAACGCCATTTTGCTATCGTCATCCAATTTAACGGCCTTTCGTCCCTTCAAATTAAATTTTGGATCAGTAGTAGCTCCAGTTTTCTTCTTTTCATGCACCACCCTGCGAATAGTCCACTCTGGAACGCCTGTCATACTTTCACAACGCGCGAGTGCATCTCCCTGCGACATAGTTCTGTTCAGATAATTGAACACGTTGAGCACGATTTCTTTCGCGTCCCTCTTCAGTGCTTTACGAAGCCGTCTACTTGTTCCCTGGCTTTCAGTACTTCCACCCGTGCCATTTGAACTCTCCATGGTTAAGTATAACCAAAACAGTAACCACAGACACCACAACAATAACAATCACACAACAATTCTTATAAAAACACACAATATGCGATCGCTCAACGAAACACGTTCCAATGCGTTGCCGACGCCTATGAGTCTGCCGGTCGAGGCGCGTCTTTGATTTCATTGGTTCTACCGGCGGAGAACAATCAGCCATTATTTCCATCTCTGTCTGTGCTGTTGACCACCGCAGAGCAACAGAAACGACATATGTCGTACGCTATACGGCTGTACTGGAAGGAAGCCGAGACCGAGCTCTGATCACGTGTTTATCACGCGTATGAGTCATTACAGTTTTAAATAGTTGTAGTATAGGGCTTCCTGGGGCAAACTGTTTATTCATTGTAGGAAACTGCACAAGCAGTAACATTTTCAAAATATTCTCAATTATACAGGCCGAGCGATACGTCTTTTTTTTATTTTTGTCTCCTGCTTCAATTGGCTCTTTTAAACCAAAAACATTGATCTACTCACTTATAAGCTTTGACGATTGATTGCTGAACTATTAGAAACTTTGTCTGAAAGCAACGTGAAAGTTTGACCATAAAGGTAATAACCATCCGTTAATTCTAAGTCTAAATATCGCACCCCAGAGGTGAGCCCCAGACACATGTATACCTCCCACGTTCGTTGTATCTTATGTGTGTTTTAAAATATTTCTTTGTATTATGAAGTTTCAAGGGCAAATGTTCGGGAACACCTTTGTGTGTAATATCTCTAGAGAGGTGCGTATAAATATACTTACAAAAAAAAGTATAGATATACCTTAACCGCTCTACTACCCCCAGTCTCAAATTGTTTACCCATTGAAAATATTCTGGCTGGAGCGGTTTTCATTTTTTCATCTTTGTACATAATTCCGCAGCTGGTTAATCGATTTTCAAAGACAACACACGTTTTTTTCGTATTTGGCTTAGTAGTAACCATGTGTCAAAATTTCTTTAAAATTCGAGCGGTACTTTGTAAGTTTTGGAGAGACCAATGATTCGCGAACAGACAGAAATAAGTGACTTGCCTTTTTGTGGTGTACATATCATATATCACCCAAAAAGTAGAATTTTATTTCCAAGATCTTTCGCTAGTTTAGCGGTGGAGCTGTGGACTTCCGAGGATCGGTGATTTATCCATACAAAATTCTTGATACCTCAACAACTAATCGTCAAAACCCATAAATATGTCATACCAGTGTATTCTTATATAGGGATAAGGCAACCTATTTGAAAAAGCTAACCTTTTTCGATAATGGATTACTACTTTAAAAATGTTCTACGCAAAAGTCCCAGTTTGTGAGCGGTATAACCACCGTAACGAGTTTGCGATTTTTGTTAATAAGAGTCGATTTCCTAACAGGTTACAATAAAAAAATGGCAGGTCTTCCTTTCTGGAATCTGTTATTCAGATCATGGTGGTATTTTGATATCCTATAACTATACAGTAAGGTAACCAAAACTGCAATATTAATCACCTACAAGGATTACAAGTGCCCGAAAAGATTGCTCTATACTATTGCCTAACTTTTCAGCCATCTTTGTTTTGTCAGGGTGGATATACTATGGCAGTTCCAAACAAAACCATAGCATCAGTGCTGTGTCTACACTTAATCAATAGAAGATGTCATCTTTGATTTTGAAATTATTACATTTTTTATAATGTAAAATATGTAATAAGTAACAGGAAAAAGCGCTATATGCAGAAAGCAATCCGTATTAACTGCATTTGGAATACATAGTGGTATCACTACCAGTTTTTCTGGAAGAAAAAGCATTCCTCATATCGCAATTTATTGCGCTTGTGTCAGAGATGGATCAGAAGGGACGTGAATGGCAATATTTAAGTGATAATACTGAAGAATTATAAAGGCAAACGTATGCAACATGAACTCGATTGAAAATGTGTAGTTTACGAGTAATAGCAGCAAGTCAAACCTTAATGGAGAACTAGAATTTCTACGTATTAAGTAACAACATGCCATCAAATTTTGAGCAGAAATTCCGTGTCGCTTTGCAGATTCTGAAAGCTAAAGGCTAATAAAACATTTCCCTTGTTTTAACGACTTAGAAGAACGGCAAAAGATCTCTGTTCAAAATGCAAGACTGACTGGAAGTTTTAATTGTATATAAATGTGGTATGGTCACCATAAGGGACACACGTGTAAGTAAATACTGTCCTCACCTTATCGCTTAAGGTAGCTTAGTTAGAATCGCCTTTTTCAAATGGCGCTGCCACAGATGGTCCTGGAAAGTATGCGAGAGAATATCTGTAGTGTACTAATAATCTGTGGCATTTTCACTTAGTATTTACGGTGCTTAGCTACAGTTGGTTGACAGTCTACATATCGGGGGGTGATGAATATTGGTCAATCGCAAAAAGGAGGTATAACATCTGGAATGGACCTGTTACAGGATCTACTAACAAATTTTTCATCTACGGATTGGTGGCTGCGTTACCCGCTGTCACTTGGATAACTTCAAAACAATACTATCTATAGCCCCTCACCAAAAAGTAAGACTGAGTGGTCTGTAAGTCTTATAAGAATAAATTGATCTTAGTTTCTGACACCTATTCCTTTCTAAAGGTTTGTGTCAATTACAATAATCTTGGATTTAGTTGATGCACGACTAGTATACAAACTTCATTAGTTTTGTGTCATTATTTCGACATTATCCGCCGCATCTTCAACATAATTTTTGATAACAGAAGAAATGGCATATACGTATAAGTTAGGTTATTGGTGTATTTTAGCAAAATTACAATGCAGTCACGGAAATTTATAGCAAAATATCTTCTTCACCTACTATATCATATAACATAAGATACTTCGCCATAAGCTGTGATTCCTTTGTTCAAAAAATTCGAGATTTCGAGCTCAAAAAACTTAAATATACTAGAACATAATATACAGGGTGCTCATTTGAAAACTTCCCACAGCGGGTTTATCGAAAACCACTGATGAGGAGAAAAAACGCCCGAGACACGTCTAAGGATTTGTCAAGGAGGGTAACTTTTCAACCAAAAGCTACTTGACCCCATCTCACCCTCTGCCCCCCATGGTCATCCCCTTTCAAAATTTCAAATGACAAGGGGTATCGAGTAATAGTTTGTTTAAAAGGAATAAAAATGGCCCAATCACTTTGTTTCCTAAAATGCCCGCCCATCAGTGGCGACTCGTGGCCAAATAAAACAGGTGTTCTGCAAATCCGAACTGACCTATTTTTTATATGTCAGTTCGGTCCTGCGCTCCTTCTTGGAAGCAAATGTGTCGATCACCCTCCCGTTGAAATTCTCCATGGCCGAAATAAATTCCTGTTCAATGGACAGCATCGACAACGCTGTAAGGCGATCCCGGGTCATGGTATTTCGAAGAAAGGTCTTGATTCTTTTCAATGTTGAGAAATTTCGCTCAGAATCATTTCCACTCTTTCGTCGTTGATGTTGTCGTTTGTAATAAATAATTTTGGAACGATCATTTTCCAGGCATCAAGAAGGGCCATACGGAGGCGGCGGTGGAGAATACACCGGAAGTGGTGGTGCTGGAGGAGGTGGTGGTGGAGGCGGAGGAGCTGGAGGTACCGGAAGATATGTCGGTAAGTGCAATGTTTGTGTTCGGATAAGATATCATGTAACTCTGATCGGACTGAACGATATTGTTCATAGTCAAGTACTAAATCGGAAGAGAGTATCAGATTGTACGTAAACAGCGACAACATTAGTGTAGCACGATGTTCACTTTGGTACTTCACTAGAATCATCGGTAAACGTATATTAGCGCCATCTAGGAGACAGTAGCAGAAGGCACAAATGAACATAAAGACCTTATATGAGAAAAGTGTTTGGTTCTGTTACTGTATCACACATGGTCCCAGGATGTCTAACCTCTTTTGCGACCTCTCTAACATCTATTTTAATTGAGTATGTTCAGATGGAATACGTTGAACTGTAAACCTTCCTTTCCACAAAAAGTCCAGAAAAGATGGAATGCAATGAAGATTCCAACTTTTCTGCACAATCACCGAGGGTGTTACCATTAGCTTCCGGTAGCTCAGTCGGTGGCATGAAGACATCTACAGGCGTGTAGCTGTGTGTCGACCATGGCATGGCTAGAGGATAGAAGAACAAACAGAACACAAAAATTTAACAGATTTTATTTAACTAGAAAAGCACTTTCATTACATTTGAAATTGAAATTTCAAAGAACAAAATGAAAGATTTAAATCTTTGGCGCTGTTACAAAATTATCCACTTATCTTTCGCTAGGCTGGTCCATTTTGACTGAACTGAAGCGAGGATGGCCAAGGGCTTCAAGTGGAGGTCCCAGTTATGAGGGGTGACCTCATATTTAGTGGCTTCAAAACTAGATGTAGTCGAAAGATGCAGTGAAGTTGAACGTAAACGTGATCTTCATCCAGGATGAAGCTGTAAGTGATGGCGCAGCCAAGGCACATGCATGGGTGAAGGCACGGCAAAGTGATAGGCCAAGCAAGCCAAAGTCAAAGACAAAGGAAGGCAAAGTCAAAGACAAAGGCAAAGGAAGGCAAAGTCAAAGGAAGGCAAAGTCAAAGGAAGGCAAAGTCAAAGACAAAGGCAAATGGGGTGTGGCCCCAATCTGAAAACCGTGTGCATTAGCAACGTGCCCCAATGGCCAAGGCATTTCCAATCTCAGTCTGCCTCAAAAAAGAACCAACGATTTTCTAGGTTAGAATTACATTACATAGATTGATAAAATCAAACCGAAAATTGGAAATGCCTTTCATGAAATAAAATCATGAAATAGCAAAAAAAGCGCAAAACAAGATGGTGGTCATCAAAAATTTCTCCACATGCTTCTGATATAGAAACACAAATATCGAATATTCATAATCAACGTACTCATAATTTCACTGAACAATGCATATATACACGCACACAGAGGTAAAATCGATGTGGATCGATTTCTACCTCGATTTGATTAAAGTTATGGCGAATGATCGAAGTAGTCGAAAATGACGTTCGATGGATATTATAAAATCGTACAAGAAATAAACCACTTACATATCGATTATCTACAAACTACAGGCAGATCCAGCAATAAAACTGTATAGTATTATAAAAATCACCATTTTATCCTATTTGGACACACATTTTACAAAATGCTAGCACATGGTGCTATATGACCTCATGCTACAGAGAATAAAATTCTCAGCTCTTGTTAAATCGGCGGCTCAAGTGAAAAGGAAGCGCGAGAAAGATCACAGATCAGGAACTCCGCATCAAGCGCGCTCCAAGCGGAAATGTTTCCAAGAAAAAAAGCTAGAGATGGGATAAGCTAGAGATGGGATTAATGAGTTGCGATTCTGAAATGAAAATCGAGAAGTGATTTAATAAATACAATCGGGCGGTGAAACCGTTACAGAACAGCGCCCGAAAGTACCCGGAAATAGTACTTGGTTAGTCATCTTCAGATATTCTTTTGAATTCTTTATTCATATAAAACGCACCCCCGATTAAATTATCTTCAAACCGTTCCCATTCAATGACCACAATCATAACATCTTGCAAGCCTCCCATAAGAAAATCTACCTTCGTGACCCCCGTAAATGCGAGTCTTACTGATGAGCTTTTCGATAAAGGCGACGTAAGTGTGAATATTCCGCAACCTTGCCGCGGTTTTTTGTAGTAGGGTTGGTGGTTGGTCCACCTACTGGTTTCAATTCCTATCAGATGCACCAACTAGATAGACGGGCGAATGGGCAGCACCACTTGTGCTACTTTTCGATATCGCTATCAAAATAAAGAAAAATAATAAAAGGACGCAAGCGAAAGAACCAACCCAATACTAAGGATCACTCTGCATAAGCCGGTTAGTGCTGCTTTTCCGCCTTTTCCTTTGGAGTGGGAGGGGGACGGTTAGAGCTGGTATCAGACCCTACAAATTATACCCCGAGTCATATGAACCTACCTGTGGCAGTCTTGTGTCTACCGCATGACAGAAAGAGATGATAAGATCAGCTGCTTGTCCGTCTACCTCACAGAGGAATGACTTCCTAAATCTTATTTTGTTAAGGTGTACTAGGAAAGTTTCATGGTAGACTTTAAATTCTGGCGTAGGTATTTTGATCCTGAGAACCTGGGCACCAGCGCAACAACCTGTGAGCCGGACTAGACCGCCTCTCTCAGCGATCTGTCGCACTCCTCCCTTGTATGATACTCCACTGTCAATTTACGGTCAAAACCGTCTGCGAAAGTGATAATGTCACTCTTTCCTACGCACATCCCACATCCCACAGTTTTATCACTCGACTAGGGATTGGTAAAACTGTTGTCGAGATATTCGCTACGCCAAAGGATCCAACATCACATACACACCTTAATACGAGTTTCTGATGAGATCGGATTAATAAAGAAGTAGCTAATTAAGATTGGGTAATTGACAATATTTTGGGGAAATGTTTTATTTCAACCAGAATGTTAGCCACAAGGATAATACACGTATATTGATGATATCCTCCACGCCATGTACCTATGACTAGAACACTACGTATTCTTCTGTCAAATAAAACTCTTGACGCGGCACCTTCATTTATTACAGAATTTTGCTTAGAACAGTATTCTTAATACTTGTTTGATTGTCTCATGGTGTGTATAGTGATGAATGCTAAACAATATCAATATACTTTTGTCTAAAGCGTACCTTATGCATTTTGCATGTATTTCTTTTAACAACCGTAATTCGTTGGCAAGTAATATCAGTTTGGATTTTTGAAAAAAAAATCATCATAGAGTAATTACGCTCTTCTATAAATGTGTGCAATAGAATTTGCGAGCTGCAACCATAAGCAAAAAAACATACCCTTGAATAACATGAACTATGTTGAGGGAAGAATAACGTTCAATTAGCGGATATATTTATTTGTTACTCGTAACCAGCCTTGAATAAATGTTGCTTCGACCACCAGCACTATTAATTCTTGGTTTAGTTTCAGCTCGTCCTGCAACAGTTCGTCCAATTGTAACAAGACCTCGTGTGATAGCAACGACAGCTAGTTCCATAGTGCCAGCAGTGACTGCAGCTAGTTACAACCAACCTGCAACCCTGAGGACAGGAAGCGCTCAAGGGTTATATGATAACAGACATTACAATATCATCAGATTAGAGCAGGATTCGATCCCAGATGGATACCGTTATTTGTAAGTTGCAGTTGTAATTACTTTCTGTACGCTCCTAATTTGAGCCTTAGATCGACTCATTGTCGTGAAACGACGTTTCGATTGTGAAAATGACCAAAATCTCAACAAGTTACTTGTTTACTATATACTCGTATGCCAGCAAATAGTTAAATACGGTTTGAATCCTGGGGTAGGAATAATAACAACTTATAAAATCAATTTGTTCAGTTATTCTAAGAATAGGGCAGAAAATACCTTCAAGGATAACAGAAGAAATTGCTGTTGTGGATAACCTTCTTGTCACTTACTCATCCAATAGACATTATGTAATTCTCAATAACCAACTGCGTTAAGCTTAGTCTGATTTCAATGCAAAACGGATATAGACTTTTTTCATTTTATCTTGAATATTCAAGCCATCTCTTTCGATACGAGGAATGGTCTGAAAAAGTTTCTCTAAAGGGGTAATTCATGTAAGATTAAATGCTTTGTTCAAAAATGCAATAGATTTGCAATATTTTCGTTTTTATCTATGGCTTTTCAAGTATTCCAATATCGCTGTAGTAGGCGTAGCTTACTGTACATTGACTACTCCACTGAAACTGCATACACAAAGTTTTTGGTTAATGCCATCAACTGCTCCAAATATGCTGTCGATCTTGTGGATACAGCTACTGCTTCGTCAAAAATGAGTGTTTTGGAAATATGTCTGATTTTGTTCTACTAGATGGAGGCGAATAAAAGTAGACTTTAATAGATACAGATCTAGAAGAAATTTGACTAAAAGAATTTACTTAATAAGTAAATGCTTTTCTTCACTACGCCCATGGGTTGTTTATCATTTTGTCGTTGAAAATAGCTATTGGAGCGTTTTTTTGTGGCAAAAAAGTTAATTCTTGAAGAAAGATAAGGAAATATCTCGTACTTATTTTAAATTTAAGATTTTAGGGTTGGTGTCACCCCCGCCCAGGGGGTTACACGTGTTAACGTGATTTTTTGCCAAGCTTGTGTCCCCCTCGAAAATAAAATCGACGGGTCTGAGCGTTTTTCCAAAAAAAAAATTGAGCTGCCAATAAATGCGTCTGTTACGTTTTCGATGCGCCACCCTATATATATATAACAACGTGTGAAGATGCTGCAAATAATAGTACCTATATAGCACCACACATGAAATCGATGTTTTAGATCGTTAGCCTTCAATGCCCACCGGTGTTTAAAAAAAATATTATGGGGCCCTGGGTCTTCTTATAGTATAATATTCAACCGTTGTGGTCCCTCCAATACTGTATATCAGCCCGTGCACGATAGGGCTGACTACAGCTTTCTAACACAGGCTTTATCGTATACTCATCATTATGCAATTTTATAGGTATGAGACAGAAAACGGCATCCTAGCAGAAGAAGAAGGCCATCTAGCTGCAGTAGGCCAAAAAGAAGAGGCCATCCAAGCCAGAGGATACTTTACCTACACTGGTCCTGATAATGTCGTGTACAGAGTGGATTACACTTCAGACGAGAATGGCTTCAATCCTGTCGGAGACCATCTTCCTACGCCTCCACCAATTCCCGAAGCTATTCTAAGATCTTTGGAATACCTCAGAGCGAACGGACAATTGTAGAACACTTGGAATACTGACACGGATACAACTAGGATTATTATACTTGCTGTAATAAATTATTTTTAGGTTATAGTGACTATGTATTATATTAATATTTAAGGGCACAGCAAAACAGTGATGAAATAAATTGAATATGTGAAGGTTTATCTAGGACACACGTGTTGTTTTTAAATGCATAACAAAGAAGTAACCGAAGACCAATTTTATATTCAATAATAATGTGGAATTTGGCATCTTTCGACATAGCGAAGCAATGACAGACGCCAATAAGCATACTTGATTTTTAGCAGTGAACGGTATAGAACAAAAGGAAATTTTAACTGGAAACTTCTCGTGATTGCCTTTTTGTCTCGACAACTTGAATATAGAAATTATGGCGACATACTTATATGAAACGATTTTCTCGTAAGTGTACACGTGTATTTCCTCATATTGGCTCACTCTCGAATCAAGTTTGACATCTAAGGTTCCAAGAACGGGGTGCCTGAAATAAATCCATGGGATTCGCATCCAAGCGATGAAATCTCCTGCATTGAAAACGTTTACTTTCCACCAATTGAATAAGATCAACGTTAATTCAAAGTCTCAGACATAGTCCTAAATATTTCAATTTTGCAAATGGAAGCTTGTCGTTGATGATGATCTTACTATAGTTAATGTTTTACCTTATGCCCATGCAGATTATGATTATCAGTTATTACATATGCAACAGATATCAAGTCTAAATCAAATTAAATGCCTGGATTCATGCTCTTGGAACTAACCCTGTATATTGCCCAATAAACTAGTAGTGATGGCCGGAAAACAGGTGTTTTGAGATAAGCAATTAGAAATTCTCAGAAACTACTTGACCAATGTACTGCGATGTTGTTGTGGTTATTTAGAAGCACGAATCCTACGAATTTGAAAAATATCAAGTATCTGCGAGAAACCATCGTTGCATTACCAACAAGTGCCAAAGCCTGCAGTTTGCCTCGGTTTTAGGCCATAACTTTTTTGCTATAAGTCGGATGGTTGTGTTATATGGAATCCTTTATATGGATGCTACACCACTGCGATCGAAAGGGTTCAACGCAAAGCATTAAAATATTTGCCTTTCAAAATACTCCTAGATGGACCTTATCCTGAACGGGGCATTGACTATGAAATCTTATATAGTAGATTTGATCAAGATAGTTTGCAACTAAGGCAGAGTACTGCATCTCTTTCATTTCTATATAAATTATTACATAACACCATAGATTGCTCTTCAACCTTACGTTTAATCAATTCTAATGTACGAGGGATGTCTTTTAAGTTTTGCATATAGAAACATAGTAGGCCGCGCGGATCGAAAGTCAGTACTGAATCTTAACCTCACTCTTTAGTGAACTTAACTTCAAAGTTTCACAACAATACGTGCAGTGTTCTCACTACAGTGACATTTTAAGTGTCACCAAGTCATTAGAAAAATGGAACTCAACCGAGAACATTTTCGCGCCATAATTTATTATAAGTTTCAGAGACAATTATCGCAACAAGACTGCGTTGCTGAGTTACTGTCTGTTTTCGGCAACAAAGCGCCACATCAGTCGACAATTTCCTGTTGGTATGGAGAATAATTAAAAAATCATCATTGAAGATAGACATGCGACATATCGCGAGATTGAGGCGTCCTTGAAGATCTCAAAGACCTCAATTCAAAAAATTTTACATGATGAATTAGGAGTAAGAAAATAAGTTTCTCGTTGGATACCTCACCCCGAAAGAATCATCCTCCATCAAGGCAATGCAAGCTCGCACACAACCCAAAAAACAAGGCAGTATTTAACGGAAGAAAACGTGGAATTATTGGACCATCCTCCATATAGTCCTAACGATTTCTTTACTTTCCCGAAAATTAAAAACAGACTGCGTGGTCAAAGGCTTCAGTCACCAGAAGAAGCAGTTGGTGCATTCAAAAATGCCGATTTGGATCTGCCAGCAAACGAGTGGAATAAGTGCTTCGAAAATTCGTTCGAGCGGATGCAGATGTGTATTAACCTTCGTTGAGAATACTTCGAAAAACAATAAAGTCATTTAAAACTACCTACCGTGTTGTTTTATTTCCATATGCAAAACTTAAAGGACCTCCCTCGTACCTAAAAATCTTAAATAGAGCTTTTCCGTTCCTGTCAACTCTTTCGTTTGAATCCTGAAAAACATGTTTTCTCATTCTTGGTTGTCAAATAAAAACATTTCCCACAAAAATTGGTGTACCCATTTTATGCGTCCATGTGTTGAATACCCCCATGAACAACTTGCAGCCTAAAAACGTGACTTTACAATTATTTTGCAAAACATGGGTATTTTCGTCTAATATGATTAGGCTAATTAGTTGAAATGCTTTAACATAGGGTATTGCTTCCAAAGCACTTGGTTCACGAAAAAAAAACGAGAAATTATATTTCCAAATTGCAATCTGATTAAAGATGGGGACGTGACCTTCCGGAATAAAGTCAGAATAGACGCTAGCTTCAAAATGGATTTCTTTGCGGAAGCTGATACACAACCCTTTATATCAAATGTAGCAGTCGACTGGATTGATATTTTAATTCGACTTCGGATTTTGAGCTGTGTAGGTACTGTTAGGCTAATGGAAATACTCCTTTTCATTTACAAATTAAGCTCCTTAGATAAATGTTATTTTGATGCAAAAAAGGATGGGTTACGTTTTTTCTTCTAAACAAACTCAAACATTTCGTGTTTATGAGTAACTCGCAACAAAAGATGATAGACACATCCACTTTGTTTCAAAATGTGTATAGTAATGTACATTTTTCGAATATGGTAGCGCATTTGTTCAATTACTCACAAATACGAAACGTTTGAATTTGCTTAGAAGAAAAAATCGTGACCTTTATTAAATGCTCTTTGAACGATCCCTGTATATAGCTCAGTAAACTAGTAGTGATGGCCGGAAAACAGGTGTTTTGGGATAAACAATTGGAAATTCTCAAAAACTACTTGAACAATCTACTCCAATTTTGTTGTGGTGTCCTACAAATTTGTAGAATTTCAAATATCTGCGAGAAACCTTTGTCGCATTACGCACAAGTGCCAAAACTCGCAGTTTGCCTCAGTTTTCGGTTATAACTTTTTTGCTAGTAATCGGAGCTTTTTACGTGTGGTCTCATTTTGTAGGTCTCATAAATACATAAGAATCTTATATGAAGAGTTTTTTTGTTCCTGCCAACACTCTCGATTGAATCCAAAAAAACACGTTTTCTCATTCGTTGTCGAATCAAAATTTTTCCCACAAAAATTGGTGTACCTTTTTTATGTGTCCATGAACAACTTGCACCAATAATACCAGACTTTACAATTACTTCGGGGAAATTTGCGAATATGAACAGACTAAATTATATAATTATAAATATTAGAATAATTTCTTGAGCTGCGGTGGGTTGCTTTATTCAGTTTAAACTGGAAGAGTGTTGAAAGAAGAACTGGTTGCCTATGGTTTTAACACGTTTCAGACAATCTATCTTAAAATTCCCCTCCAAGCAATACTGGTTGCTGGCGAGTTTTTCCACTCATGCTAGAAATCTTACGAATTATTCATCAATAGGTCGAAGGATCACTAAGAGATGTCACTTTATAGCTAAGCCGATTACTATAGTGAGAAGTATCTGTGAAATGTTAGTACATAGAATCACAGACTTGTCAATAGGTTACTATGTAGACATGTTCTATTGGTACAATCTCTCTGATACTCCAGGTGTTGTATACAGGGTGACGGGAAAATAGATGCGGAGCCGGTGGGGGGAGATAGTACAAGCCAATCTGAGTCGATTTTACCATAGGAACTACTGTCCGAAAATTAGCTGTTTTCGAATTATACTAATTATTAAGATTTTATAAAATTAACGTCCTTTATACGTTGACCAAGTCATAAAACTTGGGTGTTTCATTTGATTTTTTTTGGTTTTACAATAAAAATATTCTAAAATACGAAAATTGATACTCAAATGTACATTATTGACGTTATCTCATGCAGTAAGCTTCAAAATAGTTCAAATTTTGTTAAAAAAAACCTTCGTTCATCTCAAAAACTCAATTTACTAGAATCAATCACCTACAAACTTTTCGTTTAAATAAACAACTTTAAAATATACTAAGTGACATATAAATCCGAACACCCAGTTTAAATGGTTTTATTTTAATAAAAGTTGGTGAATGTATTTATCTTACTGTAAATAACAAGTGAAAAAATTTTCAGCCAACTTAGTGAGTTTGATAAGGGCCGTATAGTGGGACTTCGGGAAGCTGGACTTTGTTTTCGGGCAATTGCAGTTAGAGTGCAAAGAAGTGTAGACACTGTGGTTAGCTGTTGTCAGGCATGGCTTCGAGAAGGCCGTACGCAAAGAGCAAGGGGCACTGGACGCCGCCGTAGAACAACAGACCGTGAAGATCGCGGCCTAAGATTATTGGCCTTAAGGGACCGTTTCTCCACTACCAGGTCCATTGCAAATGAATGGTTTGCAGAACACGGAAGACCTATTGGCATGCGAAGTGTTTACCGACGAATGAGAAGTTTTGGCTTGTTTTCATACCGGCCACACTGGGTCCTCCCTTTAACTCGAGAACACCGACGTAATCGCCTTGAGTGGTGCAGACAACGGTCACTCTGAGATCAGGAATGGAACAGCATTGTCTTTAGTGACGAGTCTCGATTTTGTTTAGGCATGCACGATGGTCGTGCCAGGGTTAGAAGGCGACGTGGTGAATGGAGGAATCCAGAGTTTTTTGTTGAAAGACATGTTCATCACACTGTTGGAGTTATGGTTTGGGGTGCTATAGCTTATGGTTCCAGGTCACCTTTAATCTTCATCAGAGGTAACATGAACGCGCAGCGTTACATCCACGAAGTTCTAGAACTCCATCTTTTACCCTATCTTGACACCCTGGCAGATCCAACTTTTCAACAAGATAATGCCCGACCACATGTTGCAAGAGTCACAATAGACTTCTTTCACCATAATGATTTCACATTGTTACCATAGCCACCAAGATCTCCCGACATATCCCCAATTGAGCACGTGTGGGATATGATGGGTAGGAGATTGCTCAATTTGCAACGTCCTCCTCAGACTCTAGAAGCACTTCGAGAGGAGTTGGTGGTTTCCTGGAATGAGATACCACAGGAGGACATTGACCACCTGATCAGAAGCATGCCTAGGCGCGTTGGAGAATGCGTATCACATCAGGGTGCATCCACACATTATTAAAGGTCAAAGGGCTTTAGAGCAGTGCAATCATTATGAAATTTTTATCATTTACTTATTATGCTTCATTAAGTGCTTATATAAAATTTTACTAAAATAAAATCATTTAAACTGGGTGTTCGGATTTATACGTCACTTAGTATATCTACGTTTCATTACCTCGAATGAGGTATCAAAGTCACAAGCCGGTTTAGAAATGATGTTGAAGATAGCAATTATTTAAGAAAAATTCTATGGACCGACGAATCAAAATTTTATAAAGACGGCATAACAAACTACCACTATTGGCGTGAACGTGCAGTGGGAAATGCTCATATGAAGAGACCAAAAGGATCTCAAAGGAGATTTTGTCTGAATGTCTGGATGGGCATTATAAATAACTGTTTGGTAGGACCACATCTCCTAACCGACAACTTAAATGGAGAAGCCTACGAAAATTTCTTAAGAAATGTTCTATTTGAATTACTTGAAGACGTACCGCTGCACACAAGACACACAATGATTTTTCAGCATGACGGCTGCCCAGCACATTTCAGACTAAGTGTTAGAAATTGGTTAAGTGAGCAGTTTCCGAATCGATGGATCGGTAGAGGCGGACCAATCCCATGGCCAGCACGCAGTCCCTATCTCACACCTATGGACTTTTTTGTGTGGGGTCGCATGAAAACTTTAGTATACTCTGATCAAAATCCTGTACCCACAACAGAAGACCTCAGAAACAGGATAATACATGCAGCATAAGAAATTCTAGTCCCTCGTAGGAATTCGGCGGTATGTAAAATCACCTGCCATAAGAAGAGCACGTGTGCATTAGAAATAAAGGGCGCCATGTTGAAAATGTATTATAAAAATAAAAAAATGTAGTTTCAAACAAATTATCCTGTATTAAGGTATGATTTTGTAAGTGTAGTATTTTTATTGCCTTTTCCTTCCTCCTCTTATAATAGTCATATTTTTGGCAATTCTTAATGGATTCGTGATTTTTATACCTCATTTAAAAGGTAATGAAACGTAGATGTTTTCTAATTATTTTGTACGAAAAATTTGTATGCCACTTTTCCTAGTAAACTGAAGCCTTTGAGATGAAAGAAGATTTTTTTAACAAAAATCGAACTATTTGAAGCTTACTGCATGAGATAACGTCAATAACGTACAAAAAATTAGTATAATTCGAAAACGGCTAATTTTCCAAAACAGCAGTTCCTATAGTAAAATCAACTCAGATTGGCTTGTACTATCTCCCCCCACCGGCCCCGCATCTATTTTCCCGTCACCCTGTATACATACGTTTTAATATCCTCAGAATGTCAATTTATTTTCGTCTGAGGGAGCGAAAACAAAAAAGTTATATAAATAATTTAGACATCTCTAGAAGCTCTAAACAGCAACTACATGACACTTTTGAGATGTCCTCAAAGCATTTCTAAGCGACCTAGTTTGGTCTCAATTAAGTTCCATAGCACATATATGGGCTTACCTTCGAAGAAGATGCGATAGAATAAAGTTTGTGACGGTTTGATTTTCCTATAGTAACCGGAAGTAGTGACAGTAAGCCAACACAAATGACTACATTTGAAAAACCACCTTCTAACACGCTCAGAGTTCTTCAGAAAACTTTGACACTACAATATTGTGATAGCATTTCAGATTTGGATTATCGGATTTGAGAAGGTCCCAGTAAAGGGATGTGCAGCAAAGTTTGTTCCAGTTCTTTTGCGGCCCTTCCAGATCTTTCGAAACTGGTACTTTCCCAGAAATTTGCTCATGTACAGTCTATCACAAAGAAGGCCAACCCTTACAACTGCAGGCTTTATAGCTCCGCTTTCTGTTAAAAGTAAGGTGATGGAGCGGTGCATACATCGTGGGCTTCTGGAGTATGTCGAAAGTCTCGGCTTGATTAGTTACAGGCATCATGGGTTCGGGCACTAGGGATCCACCGGGGACCTGCTAGCTCTGGCAACTGTGAAGTAAACTTA